GATGGTGTGTTGGTCTGAATGGTGACCTACAGAACCAAATTTGGTAGGTGGTGTATTGGGTCTGAAATGGTAAACCCCTACGAGACCTACTTGGTGGGGTGTAAGTTGGTCTGAAATGGTAAGACCTACAGAGACCTAACTTGGTAGGATGGTGTAAGTTGGTCTGAAATGGTAAGACCTACAAACCAAATTTTTGGTGGGTGGGTAAGGGGGTCAAAATGGTGACCTAAAAGGCCCTAATTTGGGTAGGTGGGGTAATTTGGTCCGAATCATCTGGTTACACGGGTGCAACTGTCCAATGGTTTTCGTTATAAAAAACCCTTTACTTCAAAGGTCAGCCCGCCTCCTCGTTCCCCCTAACCTCGAATTTGGCAAAAAGGGTTCCACCCCCCAAAGGAACACATTTTCCTCTGGGCCCCAGATGTCAACATGATGGATCCCCCCATTTTGAAAACTATTTCTCAAACTGGTGAAAGCTCTCAGCCCAAAGTTTTTTAAATGTTTTTAAAAATGAGGTTGATTTTTAAACTGTGAGCCAATAATTTGGTGGGGTTTGGGGGTCTGACAATTCAAGTCCTCTTGGGGAGGGAATGGAGCCCCCTCGCCTGCTTTTCAAATCTACAACTTTTTCCTGGGTGTGCGCTTGTCCACTACTCCTGGATCAAAATTTAAAAAATTTGGTGTGAGTCCCAGGATAAGTAAAAGACCGGAACCCTTTAGATCCGACCCAGATCAACCCTAACCCCAGCCCCAAGACAAGTATTAAACCCATCCAGCCCAAAACCATTTTAACTGGGGAAAAAAAAAGATCCAGTATAGTTAACTGGAGTAGATTAAGGTAGAGTATGCACAGTATAGTATTATATTTAAAGTAAGTACAGTAAGTCAGAAAGTTAGTATATACTACAGTATAGTACAGTACAGAAAAGTATGTTGCACATATAGTACATATGTACAGTTGTACAGTATTACGTCAGTACAGTATTATAGAAATAGTATATTGTTAGAAGTATGTATATCTCATACAGTACTACGTATAGTTAGTTGTATAGATAGTTAGTAAGTATAGTATAGTTGTTTTAAAGTCAGTAATACGTATGTATTTATAGTAAGTAATTATAGTATGTCGGGATAGTAATATAGTACATTTATACAGTACAGTACAGTACAGTACATTTAATTTGAAATTATTTAGTATATATATTATAGTTATTAGTAAAAACGTATGTATATTATATACGTATAGTCGCAAGTCATCATACAGTATAGTCGTACTACAGTACTACGAAGTACGTATAGTACAGTCAGTCCCGTATAGTATATATATATAGCATTTTTAAGTAAGAAAGATAGTTCATACGTACAGTTATGTCATATGAAGTATGTACAGTATATTAAAGTACATCACAGCTTGAACCCTAAGTTCATATATTATATATATATTCAGTACGCCGTTTGTCAGTATAGTACAGTATAGACAGGATTAAACATCCAGCTTGAACAGTATTTTTCATATGTATGTATATTTGGGACATTTACATTACTTTTACGTCATTTAGCAGACGCTTTTATCCAAGCGCTTAAAAATTTTGGTGCATTCACCCATAGCCAGTGGGGGGGGGGGGGGGGGGGGGGGGGGGGAAAAGGGGATTTTTTTCCCTATCCTTATAGGAACCGTATAGTCAACAGTAATGTAGTTAGTAAGAAAATAGAAAAAGTCAGTACAGTATAGGCGTACCGTACAGCTTTTAAAAGAAAGGGTCTAAGTTCTTGTTCACATATGAGTAAGTACGTCGTACGTTTGTACGTTATTTTAAGTAATATCACGTATGTATGTACTCATTTCAGTACGTACAGTTCTGTAATATGTTCTATGTATATATAGTACAGTAATTATAAAAATGCATATTTATAGTGCATTTCTGTCATAAGTTCGTGTTCACGTAGAAAAGTATGTACGTACATTTAAGTTCATTTCGTATATACAGTATGTAATATAGTACATTTAAGTTATAGAGTACATTTAATTATGTACATACGTACATTATGTACAGTTAGTCAGTTCATTAAGTACAGTATAGTACAGTTAGTACAGTTCTTATATAGTTCGTAGAGTTCATTGTATAGAATAGTTCAGTACAGGAAGATGCGGGAATTTTCCACAGCTCTGGGGTCCAAATAAAATACCAAAAATAATTACAATATTCCCGTACCCAAAAAGGGACAGTACATACGTACTAAGTAAAAATAAAGGGACTAAAGTAATGTACGAAATACAGTACTGCAATACTAAAGTACATAAACAAAGTCAGTTAGTATTATTATGTTAGTAACATACAGTACAGTTTATCTCCTCTTTAAAGGGGGTTTCCCCCACTCTAATTTTTTTATTTTATAACAGTCTCTCTTTTGAAGGGATCCTCCACTCTATATATGTTATTATATTAATTTATAAGTCTCATCTTTTTAAGGGTCCTCCCTCTATATGTGTTTTTTTTTATTATATACGTCTCATCTTTTTGAAGGGTCCTCCACTCTATATGTGTTATTAATATTAATACAGTCTCATCTTTGAAAGGGGTCCTCCACTCTATAATGTTATTATTATTATTCTCCCACTTTATAAGGGGTTTCCCCCCCTTATATGTTTATTATATATTACAAGTCTCATTTATGAAGGACCTCCACTCTTATAGTGTTATTATATTTATTACGTCCCCCATCTTTTAGAAGGGATCCCCACCCTTTTATGTTATTATATATTTTGTCCTCTTTTAAAGGGTCCTCCACTCATATAGTGTTATTATATATTTATACAGTCTCACTTTATGAAAGGGGTCCTCCACCATATATGTTATTATATTATATATTCCCCTTTTATGAAAAGGATCCTCCCCCCTATAATGTTATTAATAATACAGTCCATCTTTTTTAAGGGATCCTCCACTCTATTAGTTTATTAATTTATACTTCCCCCATCTTTATGAAGGGATCCTCCCCTCTTAAGTGTTTTTTTATTTATCACTCTCTTTATGAAAGGGGTCCTCCATTATAAGGGTTTTATATATTATATACAGTCTCATCTTTATGAAAAGGGATCCTCCCCCTATATATTTATTATATATTATTACAGTCTCCCTTTTTGAGGGTCCCCCCTCTATAAGTGTTATTAATTTTTTATACAGTCTCACTTTAGAAGGGATCCCCCCCTTAAAAGTGTTATATTATATTATATACAGTCTCCCTCTTTTTGAAGGGGTCCTCCCCTCTAATGTGTTATTTATATTAATCATCTCATCTTTTAAGGATCCTCCCCTCTATATATGTTATTTATATTATATACAGTCCTCTTTTTTAAGGGGTCCTCCACTCTTAAGTGTTTTATATATTTTATACATCCATCTTTTTAAGGGGTTCCTCCCTCTATTTTTTTTTATATATTTAAGGTCTCATCTTTATAAGGGATCCCCCCTCTATATTGATTATATATTATTACACCATCTTTTTGAGGGTCCTCCCATCTAATGTGTTATTAATTTTATTTTATAACATTTTCATCTTTATGGGGATCCTCCCCTCTTTTATTTTTATTATATATTTTACTCTCATCTTTATGAAGGGATCCTCCACTCTATTAAAATTTTTTATATATATTTATACGTCTCTCTTTAAAGGGATCCTCCCTCTATATGTGTTATTTAAAATTAATAAGTCCATCTTTTTGAAAAGGGGCCCCCCTCTATATGTTTTTTATTATTATATAAGTCTCAAGAAAGGGACCCAAAATCAAAAAAGGAAAAAAAAAATACTCTATCTTTTGGGGATCCTCCCCTCTTATATGGATTTAATTAAAACATCCATCTTTATGAAAGGGGGCCCCACTTATATAGTGTTTTTTTTTATCAGTCTCAAACTTTATAAGGATCCTCCCTCATATAGTGTTATTATATATTTTTACAGTCTCATCTTATAAGGGTTTTCCCCCCCTTATATGTTTTAAATTTTTATTTATTTTAAGGTTTCATCTTTAAAGAAGGGATCCCCCCCCTCTTATATGTTTTTATATTATTACGGGCTCACTTTTTGAGGGATCCTCCACTCAATTGTGTTTTAATATTTTATACAGTCCATCTTTTTAAAGGGGTCCTCCCTCTATATAGTGTTATTATATTATTAAAGTCTCATCTTTTGAAAAGGTTTTTCCCCCCCTCTATAAGTTTATTAATATTATATAAGGTCTCATTTTATGAAGGGATCCTCCACTCTATATAGTGTTATTATATATTATATACAGTCTCATCTTTATGAAGGGATCCTCCACTCTATATAGTGTTATTATATATATTGTATACTCTCATCTTTATGAAGGGATCCTCCACTCTATATAGTGTTATTATATATTATATACAGTCTCATCTTTATGAAGGGATCCTCCACTCTATATAGTGTTATTATATATACAGTCTCATCTTTATGAAGGGATCCTCCACTCTATATAGTGTTATTATATATACAGTCTCATCTTTAT